TGGTCTTGGTGGGGTCCAGAAATCGGCAGATTTCTTCCGTCTTTTTAAGACAACACTCTCTACGGTGCTCAGAATCCTTTAATCTTCTTCGGGCTTTTCTCACTTGCGCAGGACTGCAAGGCCAGACTGTGTGTGGGCTGTGGTCAAGAATCATAGACTTTTTTTAAAAAGTAAACTGAAATATAATCTTTAAATTTATTCAGGAAAAAAGAAAAGCCTTTGGGAGACAAGCATTTTGAAAAACATATTTTTATTCTCTCAATGCATAAATCTCCTGTTAAAATTAATGACTTTGGCAGAATTACTAAGTAGACAGTAGAATTTACCCAAAGGTAGTCGTTGTGAAATATTAAAATGCAGATGAGTCTCACTGACGTAGTTCTTTACCAGACAATGGTTAAAATTAAAGCAAACAACATTTCAAAATAAAATATCAAGCATCACAGACTTCCCAGCAACGGAAGCTGATGAGAAATCATTCCACAAACACGCCCAGAGTGCCCGTGGAGGGGCGGGCATTACACAAACGGAATAAGCTTTTCTCTGCTCTCAAGACTTTACAGAGGAAAAGACTAAGAAAATCACTGTCTACAACAGGATGAGATAAGCAACGTGAGGAGAGGCACAAAATGCAGTGAGATGATTGAGAAAACCAAGTTCTCTCGTTCTAAGAGGAGGAAACCGATTTCCCCAACACTTTAAATGAACTCGGGCGAAAGTAAAAGAATTAGAGTCAATAAACGTTGTAAAGTCCCTCTCTCCCGAGGAAAGCCACCCGTCTCGAACCCAGCCCTTCTCCGTGCTCCGCGCGTGCCCAGGCGCGCGCACGCCGGGGCTCCGCAAGCCCCCGGCCGCAACAACGTTACCGCGAGAGGGCGTGAGCCCGAGCCTGCCTACGGAAGTCCCGCCCCTTATTTCCGGCGGCGGAGGATAGAGAGGGGCTGGAGAGGGCTTCCGGCTCGTGAAGTGGCACGGCTTCCGCACGTGTGTCAATCCTCCGGGTTCCAGGGTTATCCCTACCTCTGGTAAACTTGTCGGGTCGGGACTCCCTTCAGACCTAAGGATGAAGGCGGTAAGTGTCCTCAGAAGCCCTGTCCCTGCGGCCTGGGGCCCTTCTGGCTGACAGAATCGCTGCCTGGTTTAATTCTTCAGCAGGTTTTCACCCTTGCATTGCGGAGAGTGGCGTGGATTCGGGGCTCCCTCCGGGCTCTGTACGCTGTCAGCTTTCCGGTCCTTAGACCGGGCTCATCCTTTGTCGCCCCCTGAGCGCACCCACGACTTCAGGGTGCCGCGATGGGACAAGCACGGAGTCTTGTATCCAGAGAATGGCAGACTGAGGGGTTCTTCAAGACCACCTTTAGAACCCTTTTTTCTATAGATGAGAAGCCAGAGTCCTGCCCTCAATGAGTTTATGAGTCATGGGACTTGGGACGAGTCCATTTGCTCCCTTAAAGGCTAAGGAGATAGGAAAGCAAGCGATTTGCCCTGGTTCTCCCTGAAAATTGGAGCTAGCCCTGGGATTTGGATTTCTGAGTGAGGGGTCACCAGCTAGAGAGGTGGAAAAGACCCGAATTCAGTTTTGCCCTCCTTAATTTAGGGATCTTTGACAAGTCTCATAACCTCTTTAGCCTTAGCTTTTGCATCAGTGATGTGAGGATAACAGCAATCACTAGTTAAACAGGCTGTTGGAGGTAATTTGTTGGAGCACTTTGTGTTAACAGGTGTTAGAACTGTGTAACAGGTGTTAAACTAGCCCTGAATAACGATTTACCATTAGATTAATGGTTCTTAACCTTTTTAGGGGGTCTTAGACCGCTTTGAGTAGCTTCGGACTCTGATCACAGGTAGACCTCAGGGTGAACAATTGATGCTCGTGCCATTCTGTAGGATTAATGCCATAGTTTGGTTTTAGTTCTTATATGTAAGATCCATGGCTGTGAGACATTAAAATAGTGGAATTGATCAGATGAAATTTATAATCCTCTTTTAAAAATGAAATAATTTAAATGTCTGGGTATGCAGCGCTCTTTCTGTTGTTTTCTAGAGAAGAAATAAAAAACAGGTCCCAAGCTTTCGCAAGTTGCTAAAAACTAGTAAAGTCAAACTTGAAAACAAGCTAAAAAATAAGCAATTTAAACAACAAAGCACTATCAAGAAGTACCGAAAAGAACAGAGGAAACTAAGGCAAGCTGTAAAAGATGCTGTGTCTAAGAAACCCATTCCGTTGGAGGACCCAAAGAAACGGCGACCAGGTAATGGTGAAAGCGTTCATGTATTCTCATTTCCATTGAGTTACTCTAAAATGTTCTCATGGAAATAACTTTGCTTTCTAGTAATCACTCTTGTTTCAGATCTTCCTAAGAGTAGGTAAGGATAGTAGTACTGTATGCTTTATCACAGTATGAGAAAACAATTCAATACGGTATTCACTGTGAGAAAGAGCTAGCCTCTGCTTTTAGTTTGTCTAGAAAACAGACCTGAAGATATAATGTTTGGGAAAAGAAATTCAGAGTAGCCATATAAATAAATGTTGGTCAGCATGCCAGTGCTACCACTTTCCAATTCATTGGCAGGTAAGAGCATTGCTTTTCCTGGTGCTTTCTTCACAGTGCTGCCAAGGTGCTCTTTGTTTTCTAAACTTCTGTCTTTCTTTTCACTTGGAAACTTGGAGTGAAAATGAGTTGTAACTTTTAGGGTTATTCTTTTTTTTTTTTTTTTTTGTCCTTTTTTTGAGACCGGCTGCACGGCGCTTAGCCAGTGAGCGCTGTGAGCGCACTGGTCATCCCTATATAGGATCTGAACCCGCGGCAGGAGCGCTGCTGCGCTCCCAGCGCCGCACTCTCCCGAGTGCGCCAGGGGCTCGGCCCAGGGTTATTCTTTTGTAAAACTATCTAAGAACTCCAATTATTCAAACAGGTAAGGAATGTGACCATTTTGAGTCAGACCAGTTCTTCTGCAACTTTACTGGTACTTTTAGGGTATTCATATTTGACTATATGTAATTATTAAATAATTATTCAGTCTTCTCATTTTCATCTCATTCTCTTAATCCTGATATATTTAGTTTGATCCCTTAGCAACATATTGTGATGTATAAAAGGACTGGAAGTCAGGAAACTTGAACTTTTCTCTTGATTTTGTTACTTACTAGCAATGTGGCATTGGTTGTCATTTAATCTCTAGGTACTTCATCTGTAAAAAATGAGATAGTTGACTTAGATACCTTTTTTTTTTTTGGTGTTTGGCTGGTGTGGGGATCTGAACCCTTGTCCTTGGTGCCACAACACTGCACCCTAATCGACTGAGCTAACTGGCCAGCTCTGACTTAAATACTTTTTAAGTCTCTGCCATCTAAGTTTTAGTAAAATTTTAAAAGCATGATGTGTCAATAGTTATATATTAAAAGTAAAAGCAAAAGATTACTTTATTCTTACATATTCAGTATCTAAGTGAAATCTATCAGGCAGTTGGATATGAGTATAAGGTTCAAGTGAAAGATCTGGGCTAGAGAGAATAGTTTTGGGAATTACCAGCATATAAATGGTAATTGAAGCCTTAGTCTTGGGTGAAATCATCATGGAGACTGTGTAGCATGAGAATATGTGAACCTAGGACAGAATTTTGAGGAACCCCAACATTTAAGAAATGAATGGAGGAAGAAAAATCTGTAAAGGGGTTTGAAGAGGAGCCAGAGAATTAGGAAGAAAACCAGCAGTGTAGGGTGCCTTAGAAATCAAAGAAGAGTGGTTAAGAAAGAAGGAAGTTCTTTATAAATTAACATGATATAGTTAATATATGTGAAAAATAGTGTGTGTTGAACTTTCACCCTCTTGAAATGATAGGCTATCACCTCATGTAATGATGTGTTTACACTATTTGAGTAAGAAAGGAAGAAATATATATACTCATAAAGTTATGTACAAGAGGTCTTCAAAAAGTTTATACAGAGATTCATATTTTCTTTTAATTTCATTTTTCCACAAACTTTTTGAGGCACATTTGTATAACCTATCAGGAAGAATTAAAAAAAAGAAACACACTATGCTTTGATCCAGCAATCCTAATGCTAGAAATTCGTTGTATGACTATATTTGAAAAAGTTTGCCAAGACTATATATGCCTGAGCATGTTCATTGCAATATTGTTAATAATGGCAATCCTCCCCGCAAAGAAACAAAACCACAGAACTCAAAAATAATCAAAATGTCTACCAATAAGGAATTGTTTTAAATGTAGTATAAATATGATGGAATACTACACAGCTGTTAAAAGTGAGGCAGAGCTATATTCTACCTATGATCTACATGATCTATGCAGCAAATGATATGATTATCATCACTTCCTGCTTTCTTCACTTTGGCTCTTCAAAAATTTTTTTAGCATTTGCATATTTTTATCTCATATGGAAGTTCATTAAACTAATGATAGAATACATTTTAAATTTTGGGAAGATATTGACAAATTGCCTGCTGGAAAATGACTTGACCATCTTAAAATACTAATGTGAAGAAGTCAGTAGGTTGGAGAGGTTGAAGATGTAGGGGAGAGAGAGGGCTTAAATGCTAGAACAAGGTGAGAGAAGGCAAGAGGTTTTGGGATCCATGGTACTGGAGGAGAGACACCTCTTTCTTGTTATAAGGGGAGAAAGGAAAAGATGGATGCAAATGCTGTTAAATTCAGTATGGGAAATTGAAGGAGTTTCTAGCTTATGGCTTTTCTTTTTTCAGTAAAGTAGGAAGTTAGGTCCTCTAATGGTTATGAAGTGAGGTAGGTGATGGGGTTAGAAATGTGATGATAGATAAAAGATTTGAAAAGGTACTCTAGGGAAGAGAGAAAGCTGATAGGAAACAAAGTGATTGTTCATATGCTTGAGAAATGTAAGGTTCATTTAAAGTACATAGGAATTCTATTCTGGGTAGTGTATAAATTTATATATAGCAATATTTACAATCTTATTGAAGTCAGGAAGAATTATAAGTTACATTTGGCAAGACGCTAAGATTGTCTTTTTCATGGTTGAATCCTCAATACTTAGAACAGTGCCTGGCTCTTAGTTGGCATTAATTTTTTTTTTTTTTTAATAAGAAAGAGAAAGATAGCAAGTGATACAGAGAGCAAGCAGAGAGAGAAGTTAGAGTGATCTATAGTTGGGGTTTTGTTAGACATGAGTATCTGAAGTGTAGGAAAAAAAAGTAGTTTAGGATATTGGGAAGAGAGTGGTTGAAGTGATAACCATGCAATCCAGCTAAGGGAGTGAAGACAATACATTGGAAGATAGAAAGTAGAGTGGTTAAAGGATTGAAGTTCTATATATTTGGTTAAATAAGAAGTGCAGTGGAAGTAACTGAATGAGACATAGAAGGACAAAAGGTTGTGGTCAGAGACTGGGGTGAGCACCACGGTTTGAGATGTGGCTGAAGTGGAACGGAAGTGAAAGTTGTTGGAGATGAGATGGAGCTAAGGGGTTTAGTCATTGGTTCTAAAATAACCTAAAAGGCATTTAAGAATGTGTGGAGACATTTATTTTTTGGTTATTATACAGACCTGGGAATTCTTCTGGCATTTAGATTTCAGGAATCAGATATGTTAGCATTTTGCTTAGCTCAGGACAACCCAGTGCAACAAAGAATTGTCCTGCCTAGTATGTTAGAGTGATCCCATTTAGAAATATGGCTACGGTATTAGAAAAACATAAGCTTTTCTTATTGTAGACACAAAAATGCAGAGTTCTACATCTCTAAAACTTGTTTCTGATTTTTTTGTGTGTATGTGTGGAACAGGTAAAAGGATTGAGAGGGAAAATGAGGAAGAAGAGGAAGCCCTTCCTTTGGATATGATGGATGAAGATGACTTACAGTTAATGAAGGATTTAGGACAGAGAGCATCTTTTCTAACAAGAGATCTTTCTTCTAGGTAGTATACTTCATTTGGGTTATAATCATTCACATACTTCACTGTTAAAAACGTGGTTCTGAATTTTACTTAGGTTGTTCAAGATTGTTCTCACCTCTGAGCACAATGTTTACAAAAAGTAAACTCTCCTATTCAGTTTGTTTCCTAAGTAAAGGAAGGTTCATGAATAGGACAGTCTGATTTCATTTAGCGCACATCTTCATTTGTTTTGAGTCTGAATAATGTAGTGGAGTGAATGGGAGAAGAATGCTGTTCTCAGTTTGAGGCATTGGCAAAACAGTCCTGAGTCGTTTGTGGCCATGATCTTACTTAATCTTCTTTATTAGGTAGGTATTGTTTCCATTTACAGAGGGGAAACATTAGTAGTGGGTCTGGAATTTAAACTTCGATCTTTTTAATTCTGAAGTCCATCCTATTCTTTGAAAGATTTTGGAAAAGTGAAAGAACCACCCTTGGCTCTGAAATATTCTTCAAAAAGAATCTGCTGTAACTTTCACCTTTATTTTTCATTTAATGGGAAAACTACATGTAATTTGATTTTTTGCGATAGACTATTTACGTGATTTACTTATTCAGTTGCTATTTGAGTGCCCACTATGTGCCAGACACTGGTCCAACTGCTCATATCTATATACCTATTGAAGGTTTTTTTGGCTGATGGTTTTTCTGTACTTTTAAAATGATAGGTCTCTAGCTATCTTTTTAAATTTATTAAAACTGAAAATTGAATTTTTTTTGCAGTGAGCCTGTTCACGCCAAGAAACGAAAGCATGAACACATCATAGATAAATATGAAAAAATACCAAGAACTCTGCAGACGACTCCAGAGAAGGAACTGATTCATTTGCTTCCTATCAAAGATAAAAGTGGTATAATTCCACAGACCAGGGAGAAGCCAGGTGAATCTCATCAGCTAGTGTTAGTTAAATTTCTTGATCCTCACTAGTATGAGTATCATCACATATTTTTTTCATTTAAAATTTAATTTTACTTTAACTTTTACCCGTTCCTACCAAATAGGGGTAGCCACAGTTAGTCATATAGTAGGTCTGATGATTTTGGTCAGAAATATGGATGATTATCTCAGTTGTCCATTGTACTGTGAATGCAACTGAAGCTGCAAGGTTCGGGTGATTTTCTTTTCAAATAATTTATTTCACCGAATTCTTTTGTTTCTAAAATAAGAGCATATTAACTATCCTTGCTTAACCTTTTTTTTTTTGCATATCTTTGTGTGTGTGTAATAAAACACACAGAAAAGTGCAGAAATCAAAGATGTGAAGTTACATGGTTTATCAAAACATGCACCCAGAAAACTACCCTCTAGGCAAGAAACACATACTGCCAGCATCCAGAGACTTTCCTTGTGCTTTCCCTTCAGTCACTAATTTCCCTCCCCATAAAAGCAATTACTATCCCGAGTTTTATGGTGATCACTTCTTGCTTTTTTAAAAATAGTTTCATCACTTAAGTATATTATCACAGTTTTAATACATGTATTTCCCATATAGTTATTGACAGTAACAAAGATGATGAAGATCAAGAAGAAGAGATGGAACTTGAGGAAGGTAATGCAATACATCTTTATAGTTACTAAATTGTCAATTGAAAATTATATTTTTTCACGTAGTAGTAAATGTGAGATAATTTAGATAAAATCTGTACTGTATATTTTGGAGTACTGCTCATTTCAGGGCCATTTTGAGCATTTTTCTACATTTGAAAGTCTCACCTTATGGATTTGATTCTTTTTTATGGGAATATTTATACAATTATATTGGTAATGTCTAGGCATGCATGAAGAATCTTGTTATTACTGTTCTGAATTACTTTTAATTGTAAGAGAAGGACCTGCCTATAGATAACTATTAGCTTTTTAGTTTTGGCTCATTCCTGAAACTATATTAGTGTGGAATTTGTGACAGAACAAACTGGTTAAATTTTACTTTCACTTAGCAGACCTCATTGATAGTGTAAATGAGATTACAGGTCATAGGCTCATTACAGATTAGGCTCGTGTGTTTATTAAATCTAATTCCCTATGAATTTCTTAAGATGGATGTGTTTTGTGTAGTTGGAAGTACTATATAGGGCCGGCCCAGTGGTGCACTGGAGAGTACGCTGCTTGGGAGTGCGGCGGCACTCCCGCCGAGGGTTCGGATCCCATGTGGAGACCGGTTCCCGCTCACTGGCTGAGCGCGGTACGGGCGCGACACCGAGGGTTGCGATCCCGTTACCGGTCAGTAAAAAAAGACAAAAAGAAAAAAAAAAAGAAAGTACTATATAGAGTTGAAAATGGAGGAGAATATTCTGTACTTAAAAAAAAAAAACTAAATCAGATCACCCTTTCCCTTAATTAATATGAATTATTGTGTGTTTATCAGCATAGTAGTTAAGAATGTGAACTCTAGAGTCAGACTGCCTGGGTTTGAATCCCATTTCTGTTAGGTTTATGAGTTTAGCCAGGTTGCTCTCTCTCCCTTTGCCTCAGTTTTCTTATCTATAAAATGGGTCTAATGATAGTGCCTGTCTTATATGATTGTTGAGAAGATGATGTGTAGTCATAAATAGAAAATTCTTAGCTATCATCATTATTGTTAATACTAGAAGAAAATTATTTCATTAATTAAGGTTCTTGGATACTTGTAAATAAAGGAATATTTAAGAGGGGAAATCTAATCTGTTTCAGAGAACACTCAAGATCCCATTCGAGAGCTGACCATAGAAGAACATTTGATTGAGAGAAAGAGGAAACTACAGGAGAAGAAAATGCATATTGCAGCTTTGGCGTCTGCCATATTATCAGATCCAGAAAGTAATGTAAGTAATATTAATTTCTTTAGGTTCTTCATTTTAGATATAGTATAAATGTTTGATATATTAAAATTCTCTCATTTGCATGCACAAAAAAGGAAAGCGTTAATTAAACATAGTTGCTGGGTTAGAGTAAGAGAGTAGACTGAATATTAACTTAACCCTACATCTGAACTTAATTTCTTTTGGGATCTGAGAAAAGTCACTTACACTCTGAGTGTTATTTTTCTCATCTCCATGTGAAGATATTAGACTTATTGTTGTAACTCTAAAAGAGGTAAGTCTATAACAATTGTATTAGGGAGGAGGAACTTGCTTGCAAATGTGCTTGACTTATCTATACAGTTTTTAATAAGGAACATGCTACACAGAATTCACTGAATTAGTTCAGGAGTATTTGTAAGTGGAAAATATTTTAAGTGAAATTGGGCCAGCAATGTAATGAATTATAATTGGGCCATGTGTGTGATGGTGAAAGCAGTGAAAGTTATAACATGTGAACTCAAGAAACCTGAGGTTCAGTCTTGACCTGCTAAGTCATTTTACCCAAGACTCACTTTCTTCATCTCTAAAAAGAGGGTGATATCTATTTCAAAACTTTGTTGTGAAGATTAAATGATAAAATATACATGAAGTCATATAAAGTATCCTATTATTATATTGGTATCACCAGCATCCTACTGTATTTGTTTATTGAATAATAAAATAGATTATTTACATTTATAGAAGAAATTTCATGTGGGTATGCTTTGTAGTAGTACATGTCTTTTTTTTTTTTTTAATTGAAACATAATTGATTGCATGTGTCTGTGGGGTACAGCTTTGTATACCAATACCTGTGTGCTGTGTGTGATACTCAAATTAGGAAAATTAGTATATTCAGCATTACACAATGTAATCCTAGTACTTGTCTTTTTCTAATAAAGTGAGGGGAAAATCTGGGGCAGAATCGGGGAGGGGGATATTTTTCACCTGTGTTATCTCATTTAATCATTATAAAACCATAGAGACAAGAACTATGATCTTGTAAATTTTTTTTTTTTTTTTTTTTTTTTTTTGGTCCTTTTTGAGACCGGCCGCACTGCGCTCAGCCAGTGAGCACTGTGAGCGCACCAGTCATCCCTATATAGGATCCGAACCCGCGGCGGGAGTGCCGCACTCTCCCGAGCGCGCCACAGGCTCGGCCCAGATCTTGTAAATTGATCTCATTTTACAGCTGAAAAATTGAGCTTTAAAAACTTCAAGTGATTTGTTTCAGATTTTAACAGACACTAGATTGGAACCCAGGTCTTCTACTCTGG